GTAGTTAAATTGAGGTTATTGAACTCTATATATTTTTTTGTTCTACTGTTTTTATTAACTAATGCAATTGTGTTTTGGGCAATAAATTATGTTATGTTATCTTCTAATTGTATATTATTTGTGTTGTTATTTGCTTTTGAATTCTTGCTAATTCTTCTTGATATGCAGATAACATTCTTTCAGTCCATGTGTGACTTTAACTGTCCCCTTATGGAAATTGATTGGTAAATTCTTATGTATGTCTGATTAGTTACTCGGGGGAGTATACTAATCGAGGGGGAGTTTTTTTAGTTCAATTTTTATCTTGCAAAACTGTTTTTAATTGAAATATACTGTTTATGTTTTGCTTGTTGTATTGTTTCATACTTATCTCTAGTCTTGATGATTATGTCCTTACGAGATAGTTTTGTCTCTTGTTGATTGATTATTGATTTTTGAGATAGGTTTGTGAATGAAAAGTTTGCTTTGTTCATAAGATTGACAAAGGGGAGATGTAAGGATTTTTGTCAACTTATGTCCTGTGTGGCCACTTCAGAGTTGTGTGATCACAAGCATCTGGAGATATTTTTACAAATGCAAAATTCGCATGTTTTGATTTAGGAAAAAAATTTCATCTTATATTTTGTTGTGGTACATTTCCATTTTGCCTCTTTTAATTCGTTGTTAAGAAAGTTGTTTTGCTGTGTTGTGGTCCTAAGTTTCTTGCAAAAAGCAAAACACAAAAGTTAACTTTAACTTTATTGTCCCCTAACCCTTGACGCCTTGTTCTATATATATTACTTTTTTGTGTCTTCATCAAGAAACCTAATTGCCTCTGATTCACAAAATATCCTCTGATGTTTGTATCGTCTAAGGTTTCTCCTATGCTTTGGTAGGCTTAAAATTACCTTCTCTTACATGTCTTGTTAGACAATCGGAACGTGGTTCTGTGTGATGCTTGGACATGTGGAAGATGTTGTTCCAAAGTTATCCTTCGCTATTGAAAACTAAGAGTAGCTCAAGTGCGACCTGTGGTCTCGTGTGTGAAGTTTGCAATGGTGGCTTGAAGTTCAACAGAGAAGAGAATATTGATGTGTTGAAAACAATGAGTGTTTTGCAACTATGTTTTTTTGCTTTGTATTTGAAATCATAAGTTACATAGTGGATGTGTTTCTTCTGTACTTCGCATGGATGTAGGCAATTGCGAACCATGTACAAATGGTGTTTGTTTTTCTTCTTTGATGGATGTTTCATTTATGCCTTGAACCACTCTTGCACATATGAGCAAGCAACCCATTCGCATAAGTGTAATCACTTGGTAACTCCTTGAAACTTCATCCTCCTTCTAGCGCCAAATGTTTATGCATATTTTCACCCACCACGAGACGTACGCAAGCCTTTGGGAAGTTTGTGCAAGGGGTCTAGAGAGACTGAGTATAGAAAATATGATGTTGAACCCATGGATTCAATGAGATTCATGTGCGAAGTAAATGAAACGCGAATAAATGTGTAAAATAAATAGAGGAAATGAGGGCAATTTTTAAAGTGGTTTGATGCAAAGAGTAATTCTTACATCCACTGTTATTTATTGATGTTTACAAGAAGTATTTGCTTCTAAAGGACAATTGTTGTAATGCTCTTGTGAAAATAAGATGATGGCTCCTTGGTCTGCGGTGAGAACCCCTATTTATAATGTTTCAAGAGTAATTTTAAGTGTGAAGTAATCCGCATGAAATAGACCATTGGGCACTACACTATTGGCTTAAAGGTGAAATAATTTATGTGTGAGGTGACATGTGACTTGAAGTGCAACTTACAACCTGGGAGTGAGTACTCCACATGCAAGATAACATGTGGTTTTGGAGAGGGACTGGTTTGTTTTCCCAAAAGCTTCACATGTTCAAAAGGAGTTGGGTTCTAGAACCATTGTCTTGGTGACAAAACATCTTAGAGGACCCGTGTGAAGTTTTATTCTGTATGTTTTTAACCCCAACATAATCCAGCAAAATCAAAAATAAAAGTCAACAAACTGAATTATAAACTCTTTTATACTATTCATTATAGTTTTGCATCAATAAATTCTTTTTCTACCTTCTGCAATATATTTGTACTTTATTCAATAATTTCCTTGCACATTTTCTTGCGAGCTGGACTGTTCACGTCACATCAACAAACCTTTTCCGTACAGATTTTTCTATACCAATTCATCTTAAATCTCGCTACAACACAATGGATTTACATAATATAAATAAAAAAAGAAAGATTTTTTGGAAGTTTTTCTTAGATTTTTTTTACGGGCCATGCAAGCTGATTATTTTATAAGGCTTGCTCTCGGTTCACGTACAGCTTCTACTTTCCCTCTAGACAAGCTCCAACGTGCAGAAACTTGGAATCCCCAGGAATGGGCCGCTGGATTGGAAAATTCTGAAATTTAAATGTTCATATAATGTTGAACAATGTGTATCTTGTTAAATAACTAAATCTAATTCTAAATATTAATAAGAAGTTTCTGCTCATTTTCACCAATATCAGCTAATGATTCAGTCTTCGAAGCCATAAACTCATGCAGCTAAATCTTTCCCAATTAATGCACATATAGGGATCTGATAAAATAGTAAATTTAGTGTTTTCGAAAATCTTGAATTATCTTTTATCTTAAATAATGCAACATGTCAGTACTGAGCTATCCATCCAAAACAAGAATAAAAGTCAACGGACTTGAATTAAAAAATATTGCAACAATAAATTCTACAGCCTTCTGCAATATTTTTTACTTTATTCAATAATTTCCAAAGTCCGTTTTTGTAAGTTTATTGCGAGCTGAATTATTACAGTCACATCAACTACTTTCATCCTTGCTTACCAACTTTGTTTCTGGATTTTTCCCTATCTTTTAATAAACATCTTATTCTTAAAAACAGCCTTGTGTATATATATGGATGTCAAAAATAATATTTTAAACAATGTGTATCATGTTAAAGAGAATGCATTTAATCTATTATATGAAGTATTGTGCCCCATTTTGATCAGAGTCAGGTAGCTATTCATTCTTTGAAGCCATGAACTCATTGCAGTTAAATCTTTCCCATAATGCACACTATAGGTTTTCTAAGAATAGATAATACAAGTTGTATTTACAATACATTTTATGGTTCTTCTCTCAGTTGAAGTTGAAATTGAAGAAAAATACACTTAAATTGTGTAGCAAAACTGTTGCGAAGAAAAAGTGTCAATACAGCAGACTATCCGTAGTATATGATGAGAAACCCAAGGCTGAAAGCAGCAAGAATGGCTTTGAGTTTCTTCCTGGGAAGAATTATTTCATTAGTGGTGCCACTGGGCTCCTAGCAAAGTAAAAAGGCAACTTATCTTGTTTAATGTGGTCTCCATATTTCTTTTGATACAACACTCATTTTAATAGTATTGGTTAACAATTTGTAACCTAACTTTCTTGCATCGATCAAAAATTGAAAAACTTGCTTTTAACACTAATAGATGTGATGTGCGAGTAAATGGTTGTATAGATTTCATATCATAAACATGTCACACGTCATAGTCATATTGGGACGGTACAAATATTATAACTTATTTGCTTAATTTACAATTAATATTCTACAAAATATCTTTTCATTATTTCATATGGTCATAAATAATGTGTTACATAACATTCCATTGTTACAGTAGTTTATTTTTTTTTATTTTTTTGCAATATTGAATACTTAGTGAACAGATAAATTAAAACTACACATTTTTTTTAACCACGACGGAATGAAGGATAAGATCCTCATAAGCTCCTATTTTTTTTTTTTTGGGTGCAGCTGCAATTGAGAAGATATACGAGCAGCACCTGAGGTTGGCAAAACCTATGGCTGCGTTTGGTTGAAAATTGGGGGTTTTGGGAAAAGTTTTTGAAAAAAGTTAAAAAAAGTTGAATTGGGGGGTATACGAGTAAAATTTATAAATTAAAAATCTCCCTTAGTTTATTTTTTTTTACAAAATACCCCCTATAATAAAACATTAAAAGTTAACAAAAAACCCCTAACCACCTCAAACACCCCCAGCCGGCGACACCACCGGAGGTGGCCGGAGTCGCCGTATGGGCGCATGACGGTTGGATCTTGCCGGTCATGCGTCGCTATGGCCTTTCCGGCCAGACCACGGTGGATCTGGCGGAAAAGGCCAGATCTACGGTCAGATCGGCCGTCAACGGCCAGATCTGGCCGTATTTACCTCAACGACGGCCAACAAACGGTCGTCGTGATGGTCACGACGACCGTGTTGGCCGTCGTGACCGAGTGTTACGGCCAAAGATTGGCCGTCAAGGCAGATCTTTGGCCTTAGATCTGGCCTTTTCGGCAGATCCACCGTGGATCTGGCCGGAAAAGGCTAGATCGGCGCACTGCCGGCCGATATCAGCGGTAGGCGCCATTCTACCAGATTCCGGCCATTTTCGGTGGGTGGTGGCCGGAATTGGTAAATTTGGATTATTGGGGTGTTTTTGAATTTAAAAAAATATTTAGGGTATTTAATTAAATTATCAAATTTAAGGGGTTTAAAAAAAGTTGAATAATTTTGGGAGTAGTATTCCCAAAAATCTGAAATTTGGGTAATTTACTGTTTAACTTTTTGGGAATACTAAAAGTAGTATTCCAAAGTGAAACAAACGCAGCCTATGTTTAATTAAGGCAAGAAAGCAAGAAGCTGCGTTAGAAAGAATAAATCTGACGTAGGTTTCCATCTAATGCTAAGCTTTATTATTTTAGCTGTCTTAGTGCTGATGAATTAAATGATTCATTACGATCTTCTAACACTAAAAGACAAAAATCTAGACAGAATGTTTTCATTAAAAAAACTATTTAAGTTGTTTAGTCCAAAAATCAAGCAGACATTCGCACCTGAATATTCTTACTTATCTATTGAACAAAGTTGAAGTATGTATAAAATTGTTACTTTCCAGCCATTTTCAATTATTTTGACTAACAAACTTTACTATTCTTTTTTTTATTCCCAATAACATTATAAATTCAACTTTATTCGACTTGGTGAGAGATATGCATGGGGAATCTTATCAAGAATTCATGTCAAGTAAGCTGGTTCCTGTACCTGGAAATATTGGTGAATCAAATCTTGGAATGAATCCTGATTTAATGAACGAAATTGCAAAAGAAGTAGATGTTATTATAAATTCAGCAGCCAATACAACATTTGATGAGAGGTTCCACCTCATCCTTCTTATCAACTTTTACAATTCTTCTTATATATAAATTTTATCTGATGACATCCTAATTTTATACATACTTAAACTTTGTTCAATGCAACTTAGATTTGATGTTGCTGTGAACATAAATACAAAAGGACCATCTCGAATACTCAATTTCGCAAAGCAGTGCAAGAAACTTTGTTGTTTCATACATGTATCAACCGGTAAGTAAATTTAAAGAGTAGAAAATTATGAAATAATTTAATTCGGTTAATCTATAGATATACTTAGTTTTTCATCTTGTGTAGCATACGTTACCATGGGAAACTTAGGCGAGAATCTCATCTCCAAAACCTCACCATTATCACACCCTCCTGTGGATGTTGATGCCGAAGTGAAGTTGGCTTTGGATTCAAGTCTTGCTTTTCACGGAAGTGCAGAAGTTACTCAGAAAATGAAAGAAATGGGTCTAGAAAGGTGATTTATTTAGTTTATACTTAACCTTCTTCATATTTACTAAATGTATTGTGAGCTTGTACTTTTATGGAGACACAGGGGTAACAGTCACATATAAGTTCTTTATTTCTCAAATGTATGTACAATTAATTTGATTGGTGATGTTATTAAGCTAAATTTCTTTGTGAGATATATGTATTGGCATGTTATATCCTCGTACTATTGACTTTTTCTCTGGATATAGCACAACTATGTTAAAATTAGTCGGTCAATATATATTGTTTTGAATTTTTCCCTGAAATCAGTAAAGCTAGCTGATTACAAATTTCCATCCCACAGGGCAAAAAGTTGTGGTTGGAAAAATGTTTATGAGTTCACCAAGGCAATGGGAGAATTAGTAATTGATGAAAACAGAGGAGAAATCCCAGTTGCTATTGTTCGTCCAAGCATTATTGTAAGCACTTTTAGAGAGCCTTTTCCTGGATGGATACAAGGAAACAGGTACCCCTTTCTTTTGTTATCAATAAATTACATCTTGCTATAATCTATTAAATCTCTTGTATTTCATTAGAAATGATATTACATATTCCATGCAGTATCACGAATTTATTATTCCAAATGGTGTCTACACGCATTTATATGCAAATGATAAGTCGACGAAATGTTCATGGTAGCACGTAATATGAAATGCTTAGCATCACTCTTTCAGTAAAATCTCAATTACTAATTTTTTCTCTTGAAAATCATCAGGATGGCTGACCCAATTGCTATGGCATATTGCAAAGGCCACCTTCCTGCATTCCTAAACCCTGAAACAGTCATAGATATAGTAAGTATTTATCTTCTTCTTTTTCTTCCTCCTTCGGAAATTATTTGGGTTTGAAAAAAAAAATTAGAATCAATAAAAAATAATAACATTTTACTATACTTTATCATTCATACAATAAACAGAAATAAGAATAAGAATTATCCATAAGATTTTCATTCTTTGTGCGCGTTAGCATAACTATATACTTACAAAAATGAGGTGACCACACAGATTCCAGTTGATATGGGGAGTGAAGTACTCCACATGCAAGATAACATGTGGTTTTGGAGAGGGACTGTTGTTTTCCCCAAAAGCTTCACATGTTCAAAAGGTGGGTTCTAGAACCATTTGTCTTGGTGACAAAACATCTTAGAGGACACGTGTTGAAGTTTTATTCTGTATGTTTTTACACCCAACATAATCCAGCAAAATCAAAAATAAAAGTCAACAAACTTGAATTATAAACTCTTTTATACTATTCATTAGTTTTGCATCAATAAATTCTTTTTCTACCTTCTGCAATATTTTGTACTTATTCAAATATTTCCTTGCACTTTTCTTGCGAGCTGGACGTTCACGTCACATCAACAACCCCTTTTCCGTACAGACTTTTTCTATACCAATTTCATCTTAAGTCTCGCTACAACACATGGATTTACATAATAAAAAAAAAAGAAAGATTTTTTGGAAGTTTTTCTTAGATTTTCTTTTTACGGGTCCATGCAAGCTGATTTATTTTATAAGGCTTGCTCTCGGTTCACGTACAGCTTCTACTTTCCCTCTAGACAAGCTCAACGTGCAGAAACTGTTGGAATCCCCAGGAATGGGCCGCTGGATTTGGAAAATTCTGAAATTTTAACTGTTCATTCATAATGTTGAACAATGTGTATCTGTTAATAACTATATCTAATTCTAAATATATATATGAAGTGTTCTGCTCTTTTCACCAATACTCTAATGATTCAGTCTTCGAAGCCATAAACTCATTGCAGCTAATTCTTTCCCAATTAATGCACAATAGGTTATCTGATAAATAGATAATTCTTTAGTGTTTTCGAAAATCTTGAATTATCTTTATCTTAATATAATGCAACATGTCAGTACTGAGTGCTATCCATCCAAAACAAATAAAAGTCAACGGACTTGAATTAAAAAATATTTGCAACAATAAATTCTTCTACAGCCTTCTGCAATATTTCTTACTTATTCAATAATTTCCAAAGTCCGTTTTTGTAAGTTTACTTGCGAGCTGAATTACAGTCACATCACATACCTTTCATCCTTGCTTACCAACTTTGTTTCTGGATTTTCCCTATCTTTTAATAAACTATCTTATCATCTTAAAAACAGCTGTGTATATATATTGGATGTCAAAAATATATTTTAAACAATGTGATCATGTTAAAGAGAATGCATTTAATTCTATTATATGAAGTATTGTGCCCCATTTTGATCAGAGTCAGGTAGCTATCATTCTTTGAAGCCATGAACTCATTGCAGTTAAATTCTTTCCCAATAATGCACATATAGGTTTTCTAAGAAAATAGATAATACAGTTGTATTTACAATACTTATTTTTCTTCTTCTCAGTTGAAGTTGAAATTGAAAAAAATACACTTAAATTGTAGCAAAGCTGTTGCGAAGAAAAAGTGTCAATATCGCAGACTATCAGTAGTATTATGAGAAACCCAAGGCTGAAAGCAGCAAGAATGGCTTTTGAGTTTCTTCCTGGGAAGAATTATTTCATGTGGTGCCACTGGTCTCCTAGCCAAAGGTAAAAGAGACAACTTATCTTGTTTAATGTGGATCTCCATATTTCTTTTAGATACAACACTCATTTTAATAGTATTGGTTAACAATTTGTAACCTAACTTTCTTGCATCGATCAAAATTGAAAAACTTTGCTTTTTTAACACTAATGATGTGATGTGCGAGTAAATGAGTTTGTATAGATTTCATATCATAACATGTCACACGTCATGTCATATTGGGACGGTCAATATATAACTTATTTGCTTAATTTACAATTAATATTCTACAAAATATCTTTTCATTATTTCATATGGTCCATAAAATGTGTTTACATAACTCCATTGTTACAGTAGTTTATTTTTTTTATTTTTTTTGCAAATATTGAATACTTTGAACAGATAAATTAAAACTACACATTTTTTTACCACGACGGAATGAAGGAACTGATCCCCATCATGCTCCTATTTTTTTTTTTGGGTGCAGCTGCAATTGAGAAGATACTACGAGCAGCACCTGAGGTTGGCAAAACCTATGGCTGCTTTTGGTTGAAAATTTGGGGTTTTGGGAAAAGTTTTTTGAAAAAGTTAAAAAGTTGAATTGGGGGGTATTACGAGGTAAAATTTATAAATTATAAAAATCTCCTTTATTTTTATTTTTTTTACAAAATACCCCCTATAATAAAACATTAAAAGTTAACAAAAATACCCCTAACCCACCCTCAAACACCCCCAGCCGGCGACCACCACCGGAGGTGGCCGAGTCCCCGTATGGGCGCATGACCGGTTGATCTTGCCGGTCATGCGTCGCTATGGCCTTTTCCGGCCAGATCCACGGTGGATCTGCCGGAAAAGGCCAGATCTACGGTCAGATCTGGCCTTCAACGGCCAGACTGGCCGTATTTACTCTCAAGACGCCAACAACGGTCGTCGTTGATGGTCAACGACACCGTTTGTTGGCCGTCGTACCGAGTGTTACGCCAAAGATCTGGCCGTCAACGGCCGATCTTTGCCTTAGATGGCCTTTTCCGGCCGATCCCCGTGGATCGGCCGGAAAAGGCTAGATCGGCGCACTGCCGGCAGATTCAGCCGGTAGTGCGCCTTCTACCAGATTCCGGCCATTTTCCGGTGGTGGTGCCGGAATCTGGTAATTTGGATTATTGGGTGTTTTGTAATTTAAAAAAAAATATTAGGGGTATTTAATTAAATTATCAAATTAAGGGTTTAAAAAAGTTGAATAATTTTGGGAGTAGTATTCCCAAAAACTGAAATTTTGGGTAATTTACTGTTTAACTTTTTTGGAATACAAAGTAGTATTCCCAAATGTGAAACAACGCAGCCTATGTTTTAATTAAGGCAGAAAGCAAAGAAGCTGCGTTAGAAAGAATAAAATCTGGACGTAGGTTTCCATCTAATGCATAAGCTTTATTATTTTGCTTGTCTTAGTGCTGATGAATTAAATGATTCATTACGATCTTCTAACACTAAAACAAAAATCTAGACAGAATGTTTTCATAAAAAAACTATTATAAGTTTGTTTAGTCCTTAAAAATCAAGCAGACATTCGCACCTGAATTTCTTACTTATCTATTGAACAAAGTTGAGTATGTATAAATTTGTTCCTTATTACCATGGTATCTTTGTTTTTCCTTTTTGGTTCAATAAATTTTTCTTAAGTGTCTCTTGCCTGCTGCCTTTGTACCTATGTCACCTCTTTGAAAGCCTATGTTATCACATGCTTGTTGTTTTGTTCTCATCTATTTTGAATATGCTCACTTGAAGCTTGATGTTGCCATTTTATGTCTACTTGACTCTCAGTGTTTACCTGTTTTTTATGGTCACCACACAATGCTTAAATTGGTTCATTTTTGTTTATATGTTTCTTATATGCTCACTTTGACACTTGTATTGTCCCATGATTGTTGATTCTTTGTGATTTTTTTTTCAATATGTTACGTGTCTCACAACGCATGTGATGTGTGCACCTTGCATGTGCAAAGAAACTTCCCTCCACGAGATCTAGTAAACTCAAAGGATGATCATCTATGAACAAAGAGGGGGAGTAGGCATTAATCTTTTAATCTTTTCATTGAGTTGCTTTATTTTTTTAGGAAACTAGACAAGCTACTTCTACTGTGAAAGTGATCACAACTGCCTTGATTGTGATCAAATTGAAGGATATTTATTTTGAATAACTCTTTTTATTTTTGCTGAACTTTTGTTTGTAGTTAAATTTGAGTTATTGAACTTATTTATATTTTTTTTGTTCTACTGTTTTTTATTAACTAATGCAATTGTGTTTTGTGCAATAAATTATGTTTATGCTTATCTTCTAATTGTATATTATTTGTGTTGTTATTTGCTTTTGAATTCTTGCTAATTCTTCTCTTGATATGCAGATAACATTCTTTTCAGTCCATGTGTGACTTGAACTGTCCCCTTATGGAAATTGATTGGTAAATTCATTATGTATGTCTGATTAGTTACTCGGGGGAGTATACTAATCGAGGGGGAGTTTTTTTAGTTCAATTTTTTATCTTGCAAAACTGTTTTTAATTGAACTATACTGTTTATGTTTTGCTTGTTGTATTTGTTTCATACTTATCTCTATGTCTTGATGATTATGTCCTTACGAGATTAAGTTTTGTCTCTTGTTGATTGATTATTGATTTTTTGAGATAGGTTTGTGAATGAAAAGATTTTGCTTTGTTCATAAGATTGACAAAAGGGGAGATTGTAAGGATTTTTGTCAACTTATGTCCTCGTGTGGCCACTTCAGAGTCTGTGTGATCACAATGCATCTGGCAGATATTTTTCACAAATGCAAAATTCGCACTTGTTTTGATTTAGGAAAAAAATATTTCATTCTTGATATTTTGTTGTGGTACATTTCCATTTGTCCTCTTTTAATTCGTTGTATAAGAGAAGTTGTTTTGCTTTTGGTTGTGGTCCTAAAGTTTCTTTTGCAAAAAGCAAAACACAAAAGTTAACTTTAACTTTATTGTCACCTAACCCTTGACGCCTTGTTCTCTATATATTCATACTTTTTTGTTGTCTTCATCAAGAAACCTAATTGCCTCTGATTCATCAGTAAATATCCTCTGATGTTTTTGTATTCGTCTAAGGTTTCTCATATGCTTTGGTAGGCTTAAAATTACCTTCTCTTACATTGTCTTTGTTATGACAATTCTGGAACGTGGTTCTGTGTTGATGCTTGGACATGTGGAAGATGTTGTTCCAAAGTTGATCCTTCGCTATTGAAACCTAAGAGTAGCTCAAGTGCGACCTAGTGGTCTCGTGTGTGAAGTTTGCAATGGTGGCTTGAAGTTCAACCGAAGAAGAGAATATTGATGTGTTGAAAACAATGAGTGTTTTGCAACTATGTTTTTCTTGCTTTGTATTTGAACTCATAAGTTTACATAGTGGATGTGTTTCTTCTGTACTTGGCCCCATGGATGTAGACATATTGCCGAACCATGTACAAATGAGTGTGTTATTTTCTTACTTTGATGGATGTTTCATTTATGCCTTGAACCACTCTTATGCACAATATGAGCAAGCAACTCATTCCGCATAAGTTGTAATCACTTGGTAACCTCCTTAAAACTTTCATCCTCCTTCTAGCGCCAAATTGTTTATGCATATTTTCACACCAACGAGACGTACGCAAGCCTTTGGGAAGTTTGTGCAAGGGGTCTATGAGAGACTGAGTAATAGAAAATATGATGTTGAACCCATGGATTCAATGAGATTCATGTGCGAAGTAAATGAAACGCGAATAAATATGTAAAATCAAATAGAGAAAATGAGGGCAATTTTTAAAATGGTTCGAATGCAAAGAGTAATTCTTACATCCACTGTTATTTTATTGATATGTTTACAAGAAGTATTTGCTTCTAAAGAGACAATTGTTGTAATGCTCTTGTGAAAATAAGATGATGGCTCCTTGGTCTGTGGTGAGAACCCCTTATTTATAATGTTTCAAGAGTAATTTTAAGTGTGAAGTAATCCGCATGTAATTAGACCATGTGGCACTGTACTAATTGGCTTAAAGGTGAAATAATTTATGTGCGAGTTGACATGTGACTTGAAGTGCAACTTACAACCTAGGGAGTGAAGTACTCCACATGCAAGATAACATGTGGTTTTGGAGAGGTGACTGTTTGTTTTCCCCCAAAAGCTTCACATGTTCAAAAGGAGTTGGGTTCTAGAAGGTGGCCATTTGTCTTGGTGACAAAACATCTTAGAGGACACGTGTTGAAGTTTTATTCTGTATGTTTTTAACACCCAACATAATCCATGCAAAATCAAAAATAAAAGTCAACAAACTTGAATTATAAACTCTTTTATACTATTCATTATAGTTTTGCATCAATAAATTCTTTTTCTACCTTCTGCAATATATTTCGTACTTTATTCAATAATTTCCCTTGCACATTTTCTTGCGAGCTGGACTGTTCACGTCACATCAACAACGCCCTTTTCCGTACAGACTTTTTTCTATACCAATTTCATCTTAAATCTCGCTACAACACATGGATTGTACATAATATAAATAAATAAAAGAAAGATTTTTTGGAAGTTTTTCTTAGATTTTCTTTTTACGGGTCCATGCAAGCTGATTTATTTTATAAGGCTTGCTCTCGGTTCACGTACAGCTTCTACTTTCCCTCTAGACAAGCTCCAACGTGCAGAAACTGTTGGAATCCCCAGGAATGGGCCGCTGGATTTGGAAAATTCTGAAATTTTAACTGTTCATTCATAATGTTGAACAATGTGTATCTTGTTAAATAACTAATATCTAATTCTAAATATATATATAAGAAGTATTCTGCCTCATTTTCACCAATATCAGCTAATGATTCAGTCTTCGAAGCCATAAACTCATTGCAGCTAAATTCTTTCCCAATTAATGCACACTATAGGTTATCTGATAAAATAGATAAATTCTTTAGTGTTTTCGAAAATCTTGAATTATCTTTTATCTTAATATAATGCAACATGTCAGTACTGAGTGCTATCCATCCAAAACAAGCAATAAAAGTCAACGGACTTGAATTAAAAAATATTTGCAACAATAAATTCTTCTACAGCCTTCTGCAATATTTCTTACTTTATTCAATAATTTCCAAAGTCACGTTTTTGTAAGTTTACTTGCGAGCTGAATTATTACAGTCACATCAACAATACCTTTCATCCTTGCTTACCAACTTTCGTTTCTGGATTTTTCCCTATCTTTTAATAAACTATCTTATCATCTTAAAAACAGCCTTGTGTATATATATGGATGTCAAAAATAATATTTTAAACAATGTGTATCATGTTAAAGAGAATGCATTTAATTCTATATATATGAAGTATTGTGCCCCATTTTGATCAGAGTCAGGTAGCTATTCATTCTTTGAAGCCATGAACTCATTGCAGTTAAATTCTTTCCCAATTAATGCACGATATAGGTTTTCTAAGAAAATAGATAATACAAGTTGTATTTACAATACATTTTATGGTTCTTCTTCTCAGTTGAAGTTGAAATTGAAGAAAAATACACTTAAATTGTGTAGCAAAACTGTTGCGAAAGAAAAAGTGTCAATATACAGCAGACTATCAGTAGTATATGATGAGAAACCCAAGGCTGAAAGCAGCAAGAATGGCATTTTGAGTTTCTTCCTGGGAAGAATTATTTCATTAGTGGTGCCACTGGTCTCCTAGCCAAAGGTAAAAGAGACAACTTATCTTGTTTAATGTGGATCTCCATATTTCTTTTAGATACAACACTCATTTTAATAGTATTGGTTAACAATTTGTAACCTAACTTTCTTGCATCGATCAAAAATTGAAAAACTTTGCTTTTTTAACACTAATAGATGTGATGTGCGAGTAAATGAGTTTGTATAGATTTCATATCATAAACATGTCACACGTCATAGTCATAGTCATATTGGGACGGTACAATATTATAACTTATTTGCTTAATTTACAATTAATATTCTACAAAATATCTTTTCATTATTTCATATGGTCCATAAATAATGTGTTTACATAACATTCCATTGTTACAGTAGTTTATTTTATTTTATTTTTTTGCAAATATTGAATACTTAGTGAACAGATAAATTAAAACTACACATTTTTTTTAACCACGACGGAATGAAGGATACTGATCCCTCATCTATGCTCCTTTTTTTCCTTTTTCGTTTTTTTTTTTTTTTTTTGGGTGCAGCTGCAATTGAGAAGATACTACGAGCAGCACCTGAGGTTGGCAAAACCTATGTTTTAATTAAGGCAGAAAGCAAAGAAGCTGCATTAGAAAGAATAAAATCTGACGTAGCTAGGTTTCCATCTAATACATAAGCTTTATTATTTCAGCTTGTCTTAGTGCAGATGAATTAAATGATTCATTACGATCTTCTAACACTAAAAGACAAAAATCTAGACAGAATGTTTTTCATAAAAAACTATTATAAGTTGTTTAGTCCTTAAAAATCAAGCAGACATTCGCACCTGAATATTCTTACTTATCTTATTGAACAAAGTTTAAGTATGTATAAAATTGGTACTTTTCTAGCCATTTTCAATTATTTTGACTAACAAACTTTACTATTCTTTTTTTTATTCCCAATAACATTATAAATTCAACTTTATTCGACTTGGTGAGAGATATGCATGGGGAATCTTATCAAGAATTCATGTCAAGTAAGCTGGTTCCTGTACCTGGAAATATTGGTGAATCAAATCTTGGAATGAATCCTGATTTAATGAACGAAATTGCAAAAGAAGTAGATGTTATTATAAATTCAGCAGCCAATACAACATTTGATGAGAGGTTCCACCTCATCCTTCTTATCAACTTTTACAATTCTTCTTATATATAAATTTTATCTGATGACATCCTAATTTTATACATACTTAAACTTTGTTCAATGCAACTTAGATTTGATGTTGCTGTGAACATAAATACAAAAGGACCATCTCGAATACTCAATTTCGCAAAGCAGTGCAAGAAACTTTGTTGTTTCATACATGTATCAACCGGTAAGTAAATTTAAAGAGTAGAAAATTATGAAATAATTTAATTCGGTTAATCTATAGATATACTTAGTTTTTCATCTTGTGTAGCATACGTTACCATGGGAAACTTAGGCGAGAATCTCATCTCCAAAACCTCACCATTATCACACCCTCCTGTGGATGTTGATGCCGAAGTGAAGTTGGCTTTGGATTCAAGTCTTGCTTTTCACGGAAGTGCAGAAGTTACTCAGAAAATGAAAGAAATGGGTCTAGAAAGGTGATTTATTTAGTTTATACTTAACCTTCTTCATATTTACTAAATGTATTGTGAGCTTGTACTTTTATGGAGACACAGGGGTAACAGTCACATATAAGTTCTTTATTTCTCAAATGTATGTACAATTAATTTGATTGGTGATGTTATTAAGCTAAATTTCTTTGTGAGATATATGTATTGGCATGTTATATCCTCGTACTATTGACTTTTTCTCTGGATATAGTACAATTATGTTAAAATTAGTCGGTCAAGATATATTGTTTTGAATTTTTCCCTGAAATCAGTAAAGCTAGCTGATTACAAATTTCCATCCCACAGAGCAAAAAGTTGTGGTTGGAAAAATGTTTATGAGTTCACCAAGGCAATGGGAGAATTAGTAATTGATGAAAGCAGAGGAGAAATCCCAGTTGCTATTGTTCGTCCAAGCATTATTGTAAGCACTTTTAGAGAGCCTTTTCCTGGATGGATACAAGGAAACAGGTACCCCTTTCTTTTGTTATCAATAAATTACATCTTGCTATAATCTATTAAATCTCTTGTATTTCCATGTAGTATCACGAATTTATTATTCCAAAAGGTGTCTACACGCATTTATATGCAAATGATAAGTCGACGAAATGTTCATGGTAGCACGTAATATGAAATGCTTAGCATCACTCTTTCAGTAAAATCTCAATTACTAATTTTTTCTCTCTTGAAAATCATCAGGATGGCTGACCCAATTGCTATGGCATATTGCAAAGGCCACCTTCCTGCATTTCTAAACCCTGAAACAGTCATAGATATAGTAAGTATTTATCTTCTTCTTTTTCTTCCTCCTTGGGAAATTATTTGGGTTTGAAAAAAAAATTAGAATCAATAAAAAATAATAACATTTTACTATACTTTATCATTCATACAATAAACAGAAATAAGAATAAGAATTATCCATAAGATTTTCATTCTTTGTGCGCGTTAACATAACTATATACTTACAAAAATGAGGTGATCACACAGATTCCAGTTGATATGGTTGTGAATGCAACTATGTCTGCTGTCACAAAGCACGGAATTGCTAGGAAACCAGGGCTTAATGTGTACCATGTTTTATCTTCTGGAGTAAATCCAATGACGTTGGCTGACTTTTTTGATTTCCTATATGAACACTTCAAGTCCTATCCACTTAAGGACGTGAAGGGGAAGACTGTGGACATTAAAAGAGTGAAATTTTTCAGCTCAGTGGAAGATGTCCTCCCATGTATCTCAAAAGCAATTATGGAGCGATATGGGGTTGCTTCTGGTCAAGATGGACTCGCAAGAAAATTTTGCGAGAAGATAATTGATCAAAGGACAAACATGGTTAAGACATATGAACCCTATTATACTTCACGGTGGTAAGTTTTTTTTATTATTATTCTTATTTTTTCCTTAACTTATATAGTTGTTCACTAGATCGATGGATACAAAAATTGTTTTTTTATGTATTTTATAGTCAAATTATTAATCAAAGAATTTCGTAGAAGACTTTGATACTGTTTAAAATGCTTTTAGCGACAAAAGCATTCAAAAGTAAATGTTAAGAATGTTAAAAGATGAATGTTTGCAATGCTAAATTAAGTTTGATTACTATACACCTTAAAAGTAATACTATTAACTTATAAATTACACTAAGCTGTAGAGGTTATTATTTTTTTGAAAAGTTTGCTAATCATCTTGAATGCAAAACTGGTAGGTTTGACAGCACTGAAACCTATATACTATGGGAAGCCATGTCTGAGGACGAGAAGCTGAATTTTGGATTTGATGTGAAGAGCTTGGATTGGAGGAATTATTTTATCAATATTCATGTTCCAGGCTTAAGACAGCATGTGATCAAGAATGGCCGATAAAAAGGAAAACTTATAATTTAAGTTAATATAGCCTATCCTTTGTATTTGAGTGCAATTTATGTGACAACTAAATAATTTGAACAACAATGGTTGTAATAAGTCGTGTTTTATGTAACAAGTATAATGATAAATGATGTGACAATTATAAAATAGAACACATCAATTTGTACTATAATTGTTTTTATACATAATTTGTGTTGAATATTTACCAAACTTATATTGTGTGTGCACTAAAGTTGTGTGTGTGCACGGTTTTGTCTAAATTGCCCTTTTGTAATTTCATTACAAGTGTGTGCACACATCGTTCATTTGTGCAAGCATCTATTGTCTGACACATTTTATCAAGTGGCGTTCTCTCTTTTTTGTCTTCTCCATCAAGCTAATTTTGATTCATGAGATATTTGTGTAAGCTAACTTTACAGGTGTCACAATTTCCTTATGTGATCTTAAAATATTGTAAGGTTTTGTCTGTTGTCTCATAAGAAAGAGAAAATATATGTTTGTGATCCAACAAAAAGTTTGAATTTGTTTTATCCTCCATGTGTACAACTATGTTAGACGTATGTCTTTTGCATTTTAATTTCATGTGTGTGCACAATGGATATGTGCTTGCACACTTATGTCAGACATATGCATGGTGCACTTCATTTCATTTTTCGCTTCAAGTGTGTGCACACTTTACTTTTGTGCTAACATCGCATGTCTAGCTCATTTTTTACAAATTGCGTTTTTATCTTTATCAGTTGAGATATCTTTTGTTCATTTATTGTGTTATCATGAGGACCACCTAAGGTGTCCCAATATCCTCTATTGGTCTAGGGAAATAAGTTTTTTCCCTTTTTTGTTGTGGTCCCAAAAAATTAGTGGAATCTTTTCTATTTTTGGACCAACATATGTCAGCCCTTATTTGCTGACTTGGCAAAAATTGTTGAGCATGAAATTGGCCTATATCATCTTAATTTATTCTTGTTCATTTGTAAAGTCATTCCTTGGTAAACCAGTTTTCCAAAGAAAGTTCTACCTAAGCCTACAAAATGACCACTGTCCAACCCAATTCCTCTCAAAGGCCCACTTTCCAGCCCAATTCTTATCAATTTGGGAGTCGGTTCCTATCAAACGGTATCAGAGCCAAACCCCGTCTAAGCCCATGTTTAGGAAGAGGTGACCTAGGAAAGGGGGACCTGATAGAGTAGGCCACCCAAAGTGAAGCCGTCCATTGTGGGCCAACAATGTTCCGGAAGGGGCTACGCGGGAAAGGACTACCTGGGAGAGTAGGCCACCCAAAGTGAAGCCATCCAAAATAGGCCAATGTGAACGTTGCGTCTCGAAGCATGGGGGAATGTTAGGATCCTACATTTGAGAGGAAAAATGTGTGAGCATGTGCATCCTCCCTTGGTAAGCTGATTTTCCAAGGAAAGTTCTACCCAAGCCCACAAAAGGACCACTATCTCCGCCCAATTCTTATCAATTTGAGAGTGGATTCCCATCACATTCTAAATAGCCAAGTTCAAATAAATCTCAGATTAAGCAACGAGGTTTTAAGCTTATAAGTTTAAGTTCATGTGCGTTAATCTGGTTTCAGAAGTTAGTTAAATTTTGTGTTTCTTCAGGTGTGTTTGTTTATGTTGAGATGGCAGATCACATAGATCACCAGCCTATATCTTTGAGAATGTATATAAACACTTCTGTATTGTTTTAATTCAGTAAATGAAATACAAGTCAAAATCCTTTCATTTTTTGTCTTTCTTTTCTTTGAATTATCTGTTTCTCTTAATTTTCTCTTCAACAATAGAAAATCTTTTCAAAAAGCATATGCTGAAAGAATGGTGAAAAAGTGACAATCATAAGTCAAGACCAAGAATATTTGAGTAATTGATATATTGCCAGCAATTGAGGGAATGACTTCAACCAGAAAATAGCATGCTAGCTATTGCATAAAACATATAGACGTTCAGAAAACACGCATTTCATTGCCAAAAGTCATGAATGAATCTAGTTAAGTTATGTATCACCATAACTGGATCAAATTACCATGGAAATATTTACCCAAAGACCGAAATTTCACTCTTCCTGCTTACCATTATACCAGCCAGAAATTGTAGCCAAGATATTCAGCATTACAAATACAAACTTCATGATCCCTTCAGAATTATTATACAACTTCCCCTTCATCACTTCCATTCTTGTATATCTTTGAAAGATAAAATAGAAAACAATAAATGCTATTCTAAATTAAGTATTACTATTCTAAATTAAGTTTATATTGGTCTGAGAGCAACGAAACCTACAAATCATGGGAAGCCATGTCTTTACTCTTTAGAAGAGAAGCTATGCGAAGAGGTTGGATTGAAATTTGAAAGGATTATTTTGCCAATATTCATGTTCCAGCTGGTTTAAGAAAGTATGTCATGAATGGTGGATGAGAAGGAAAATTTATATTTTAAGCTACAATAATATGTTCCTTGTAATTACAATTAAGATAATTTGAACAAAAATTAATGGTATATTTAATAAAAATTTGCTGATAACCTTCAACTCAAATCACCATTAGTTCAAGATGTCCCAAGAACATCTGCAACAAGTGGAGAGACTCAAAAAAAATTCTCAATGTATTTGGCTCACAGTCAGAGGAAAGTATAAAACATATAGAAAAAGTTTCATTGCCTCTAGTCATGAATGAACTTCAATCCTCCGCCTGCCCGAAATACCGGCCGGAAATTGTGGCCAAGATATTGAGCATTACAACTTCATCATCCAGTTCAGACTTCCCAGCTCGCAGTCTGGCACATTTCCGGAGCAGACTCCGGAAAGCAGCAGAAGTGTCGGCGTCTAGTGGAGTATCAACTGTTGCGCACAATGAAAATAGCCACACACAATCATTTCTAGACAGCGTGCTAAATGTCTCTATAGAGGTTATGCGTTTTCTCAGCACTGATACTCGAGCTACGGAATCCATATTTAGAATTGCAGATAATGTAGGGTGGTTGGTAGAATCATCAATTGGAGAAGTTTTAGGATTTGGATGGCATGGAGAATTTTCATCATCCTCAGTATTTAGCAGAGATGGCTCATCAGCTGCGATTTTATGGCTGAAACTGTCAACAGGCTGACAGGAATGAAGTTCATCGGTTTTAGCAATAGTACTATCAGGGAGTTGACAGGATTCATTGTCCTTGTGAAAAATGACCACATCTTGCAGTTTACCAGCAAGTTGAGAGCTTGGATTCTCGATACCTGACAGAACCTGATATTAAAATAAACAATAAAGTAAACAAAGTCAGTTTCCAGAATGTGGAGTTAGGCAATTCGGATAAATATAGCGTTCTGCATTCTCAGATTAGACAAGGAAACCAACCTCAGCTTTTTCTCTCCTGAAATTTTTTATAGAAAGAAAATATGGCTTTACTGGATTCTCTAAAATAAAGAATTTTAAGGTATTTTTCTTTTCCTCATTCGCTCAAGAACCAACCTGATCCTCGCTCATTTCTTCAGACAGCATATTCTAGATGAAAAATCAGTTTTCCAGGTTTGATTACTCTAAGAAAGAGAAGAGAATGGAGATAGAAATAGTCATTTATTCTTTTAAGCACGTTTCTGTTTGATCAAAATTAAACTTCTCCATGACTAACTTATGCTAGTTTCCACCTCAATTATTTGTAGCTAGGAAGCCAGCAGAGATGCAAATTTCTATAATTTCATAAAGCAAATCATATGCAATCCACATATAAGAATAAAACTAATAAACTGGTGTCTAAGAAACATACCTGTCGTAGCTTTGAAAAGTCAGCAAGAAATGAATCCTCCCATTCTTTCAATGGCATCAAGTGTTCTGGACACCGTGGGATATCAGGAATCCGGGGCATATAAACACTCTGTTCTTTAGAAGGTTTGCTCTGATCACGCTTCGCCACCTTCACTCTTGGAATGTGAGCAGCTTCCCATCTGAGCATCAGAAAGAAATTGTTTAGTATATTCCACAATTGTAGCTTTATGTTCATTTTAAAAATTTTAAAATTAGTAACAGAAAACTAAAAGCAACAATACAAGATCATATTACACAGCCCTGTACTGCAGACAGCAAAAGCTAAAAACATGTACCACTAGTTCTAAACCTTAACATGCATCATAAATGTTTCAATCTGCAATTGAGGCACTGTCCCGTAGTAGAATTGAATACAGCCGCTGTACATAAACAAGCTGAATAATATGGATCACACCCTACCAGATAAGCTCACTTAGATTCAAGTTTATCCAAAGTTCTAAAATTTTGCATTTTTATTTACATTAGAAAGCTCCTAGCATCCCATCCATTCGACAGTGCAATGGCTATGGTGATCCCAAATAAAAGCAAAACTTCCCAGGTCAATATGTGATCTTTTTGGAACTGAAAGGAAACCCTGAAATGTGATTGTGGCATTGTGCTCATGTGGTCAAATATTCACTGATTACTTGTAAGTATATATACATATATATAGATATTTGGTTCTTGTGTGCACATGAAAAATTGAAGCTCCAACAGAACATTGATGATTCACTGTTCCAACTTTATTTCTTTCCGAAGTCATGTTTGTGTGGAGAATTATTTGTGATTTGGAGGCTTAGGAGAATAGTGGGGATATTCAAATCGATCAAGAAAAGTTATTTCTATTCATGTCAAATTTCAATCTAATCACTCCTAAAGTCGGAACTCCAACTCTACAAAAAAAAAATCCAGAAAAGCTCTCAACTACTGATGAATAGAAGAGGAAAGGTGAATCTCATTGAAGAGATGAATGATTTCTTCTTGAAACTGGAGACAAGTTTATTTGACTATCCATTTCTAAGTCCAGCGTCAAGAACAAATTATGCTAGACTGTATCACCTTCCAAGGTATAGAGTGAAAAAAAGTTATGGCTTTGACATGACTAACCAACAGTCCATATAAATATTGTGCTTCAAAAAATGTTATGCTTATTGCATTACTTAATAATTTTCTAGCGGAAGGGTTGAAAAAATCAGTTTATCACAGCTGGAATTCTTCTCTTCTATGATTTCTCTCTTTTAACACATTACTTGATTCAGTTGTAAAGTCAGCCATTGAAATTAATTGATAACACAGGACCAAGGTATAGAGTGAAAAAATCATTCAAAAGCCCCCTACTTTTACTGAAGACAACCAATATTCAACAACAAATAGATGAAGAATGAATCCACCATTTGCATTTCTTTTTCTTTTTGAATAAATCCACATTGGTACAACCCTATAATCACCAAAGATGTGTTGTCATGACTCAAAGAAAAGTGTTCGTCCTTAATTTTTTTCTCCATCCACAAATGCTGCACCATTACAAAATTTTCAAGAACACATATCCAAAACAAGAGCAAAACCCGGTGACATGTGAAATCCAGAATAAGAAAAAGAAAACCAGAATTTCACTAGATAGAGTCCTTAAAATCCAGAAAGCATTCCAGCATAGCCTTTTATAGGAAGGTCTTCTACCAAGTCACAAGAGTTACAAGCAATCACTGGCTGAAAAGAGGCTCACTCTTTAAAGGATAATATACCATTAATAAGATCAAATAAAGAAAACATAGATAACCTAGATGTTATGGGAAAATGAGAATAACTGCATTTTGTGAAGGAATCAAATAAGGATTTAGAGTGCTACCTGACGCGCCGAAGATATTCTAATCCATCTCCGGGAGGTCCAGAATCAAAATCAGGCTCGCCTTCTACCAAAAAGGCAGGTCTCTGAATGCTACAATAATCTTCATCACTGTCATATTCTTCACTGCACTCTCCTTGTTTGACCATATATGAACCTTCACCCTCAGTACTAGCGCTATAACCAGGATTCAAGATATCCACATTTACCTCATAACCGTCCATGTGTTCTGATTCATTATCCACGTTTTGCGAATACTCTTCCCCTGAAAGTAATAGAAAATTTAGAAGCAATTGTGAAATTCTAAAATCTAAGAAGTTCAAACCACAGAAAGATCAAACATCAACTCCAGTAACAGTGCTAGGTACAAGAATCATTTTTTATTCATGTGTGACATTCAAAAGTCGAATTTCATTACAAGTATCCTCACTACATTCTTTCAGTTATAAACGAATGTAACGTGTTATCATCCAACACACTTTCCCTACAAAATCTAAATCGAGAGTAATAATTTCTATGTACAAAGACTGTACACAGTTTGTATACAAGACAGCTATGACATGCTAAGTACACAGATAAGAGACTTTGAAAATACTGCACAAAGAACTTTGCAGATTGCTCTAGGCCACTCTTCAACGCACAAAGATATTGAAATTGTTCCCTCTTCCCCTTGCAGCAACAACACCTGTGACAACAGAAAATGATCCCATCAAATTGACACAAGAAGAGCTAGAACCCACTACAAAGAAGAGGTGGAGGAAAAGCATTCAAAAAGGTCCATGGACTCCAAAAGGAAGAAGAAGAAAGGGAAAAAAAACCCTTAAAAGGAAAAATTCACAGAAAACTTCCATTCCAGTGCTACAAAATAGCAAATCATGGCCAAACCACATATACGATAACTGTCAACAGAGATCTTAGCTCAAACAGAGTAAATGGAAGGGAGATTAAAGAAAGGCTTTTAAAAGATGTATTTTAGAAAATTATAGCTTTCCTTAAAACAACAGCACAATATGATTTTCAAAAAATTTCATGGCAGAAGAGCAATCTAAAAGTTTAGAAAATTGCATCTGGTTTCTTCTCTATTGCAATCACAAGATAGACAAAATGCTAGGAGTGGTAGATTATTAACCTCTTTGCTGAATGTCAATGCAGTCTTACTTGACACCAATCTCATCAAAGATGCTTCAAGTGTTCCTAGGCTACTCCTTAAAGCTATACAAAGTTCAGAGAATCTTGCTATGAAGTAACACAATTAAATAGCTGACTAATCATACACATTCTTTCCTTTTTCAAATACCTCATGTCAGATTAGAAATACAAATAGAATAACTGAGTAATAAGCATTGGCCAGAAGCAGTGCGTCAGCTGTTATATCAGCTTCTCAGAGAATTAAAGAAAATCTGGAGTATTTCTTGCCAGAGGCTGCACGACTAGATTACAAGCTATTCCTCTAACTAAGGTTTCATTGAAAACTACTCCCCATTCTAAGAAACTATTATCTAAATAAGATTAGTTCAGATCCCCTTTCATACGGAAGCTCGGTTGTTTGAAATTTGGGTATTAAAGAGAACAAAACCATACACAAAATGCCACCAAAAGAAATAAATTCAACAATATGTGCTTGTTCATAATATTATACCATCAAATCATTGAGCTCTACACTGTCATCATAATCTGCTATTGTAGATCAAATCATAATGCCAAAGATTCTTTTAGACACATAAAATAAAACTATAAAAAAACAAAAGTGGCATGTGTTTACACAATAATAACAGGTAGAGCTTAAGATACTTGAAAAATAAAAATTAGCAGATAATGAAACTTACCAAGAATCTCATGGGTCTCTGGCTTCCTTGAAAAGTTCTGCCGAGGATCGAAGTTCAAGAGGATGTGCTTCTGATGCTTGGAGCTGAACAGGTCATCATACTCAGTCATCACCACAGGTCCAAGTCCAGTGTATACATCCCTCCACATTTTCCGCTGTTCCACAATGTTGACAAACCTCAAGGCCTCCATCTCCTTCCTTGAGTACATAATTTTCTCTTGTTTTCCATCCTTTAAACCACCATCTTGACCAGCCCCATAATCAGTCAAATTCTTAATCTTTTCACTCATCTCCGAAGCCTTTTTCGCATCTTTTGCCTTCCTTCTCGATCTTCTTGCCTTCTTTCCATCCACTTCTTGCTCCGTCTCCCCTTTCTTCCCGTTCCTCTCTATCATTTTAGAAACCCTAACAGTTTCAATCAATGCTGTATCATCAATTACTTCAATCCTAAGAGAAGGCCTAACACTCACATCACTTACTCTTGCACCATCAATCTTCACACCATTATTTTGCACTAGTTTGTGTACTTCCTGACTTGCCAGACCAGAAACTTCAAGTTCTGCCAATAACTGCTTTTTCTTGGCCTCCAACAAAGCTTCAGATTTCATTTCTTTTCTATCTTCATTGTCACCTTCCACAACGGAACTCGTCTCAACTTTGACCTCAGACTCCTCTTCATTGAAGTTATCACATTCTTGAACTGCAGAACAACTCACTTCAAGTTTCACAAAATCTTTCGAAGTCTTTTCAAAAGTAGCAACACAACCCACCTCACTATTCTCTGATTCTTCAACTTCCAAACCAAAAGCCTGCACCTTTCTATCACAAACCACCCCATTGCCCTCACATCCAGAAAATTCAGAGACCATCTCACCCCCAACCTCAGACTCCTTCTTTTCATTGACTTCACCACGTTCTTGAATTCCAGAGCAACCCACTTCACGTTTCACAGAATCTTTCAGAGTCTTTTCAAAATTAGCAAGACAGCCCACTTCACTATTCTCTGTTTCTTCAACTTCCACACCAAACGCTTTCACCTTTTTCTCACAAACAATCCCTTTTTCTTCCCAACCAGAGAACCCAGAAACTAAATCACAAGCAGTGACCTCTTCATCAACAGAACCCAACAATTCTTGACCAAGTTCTTGTTTTTCTTCAGTAAAGTCGATATGACTCTCACATTCACCTTTAACACAAGAACAAGCCGCCTTCTTGAAACAACTGCAAGCGGCCGCCATGGTTGAAGAGTCTTCTTGTCTTGGAGCTGAAGAAGTATCATCAGAGGACTGTACTGAATCTTGTGAGGCAACGGAAGAGAGAGAAGCGAATTGTTCTCGTTCTTCTAGTTGTTGCATAGAGGGAGTCTTTTGTTGAAATTGAGTGGTTATTGGTTTGAAAGCAGAGTGTTTATCATCAGTCATCTCTAATTCAGTAGAGAACGAAAACTATTTGGAGAGAGAGAGCACAAAAGTATAAAACCCTCGTGGAAATTCAAAACTAGTTGAAGACTTGAAGTGCGTAGTGGAAAATTGCTGTGGAGTAGCGTAGTAACATACATATATATAGAGCTATAGGGCTACAGATGTAACAATCTTTCAGGGACTTGATAATTCCTAAGAAACGCCTGATCAAAATTGATTTCTTAGTCTTTATTACTTAGGGGTGAAGGGCATTAAGTCTTTTTATTCTTTTCAATTAAATTTATGTATAATCCACGTAATTAGAATTTCTATTTTTCTTTTAAATTTCGAAAGTTTATTACTTAGGGGTGATTTGCTTGCTTCTAGAAATAATTTTGGATGCAATTTTAAAATTATTTTATTTTACCACGTTTTATCTTATTAAATCCCACATTTTATCTTTAGGTTTCAAATTTATCATTTGAATAACAATTTTTACACTTTTTTTCGAATGGACCCTCCAAGTTTAAAAATTGTCATAAATATTGTCTTTTAAAATACTAATTCACTCATCTATTTTAGTGTAGAGAATAAAATGATAACTTTGGTAGTTTGGTGTGAAAAAAATAAATTACTAATGCTCGAATGGACCCTCAAAGTTTGAAAATAGTATGATAGATAACATATTTCATAAAAAAATATACATATACCAAGAATGAACATAACATAATTAGGGTTAGATCAAAGATCAACATAATTCCACGCACAACCTAAAAACCCCTAATGCTCTATCATCGAACCATTGAGGAACAGCAAAAGATTCTATATCATAGAGTTCAAAGGTCCATAAAACATGGCCGATAACTGAGTATGAACGCAAAAGAAAACAAAGCGTACCCAGGTATCCACAAACCCAATTCATTGTCAACAATTCGGGACTTTAAAAAAAGACATCAGCACCAGCAGCAGCAGACAAATGTTAAAAGTGACACTACAAGGACAATCCAATCCTACACATCTGCTCTCATATTATACGGAATCGATTCTCATATATGAAAAATTAAAAAATATATATGAAAACAAACTGTGAACAAGCGTCAGAACTTCAAACAAGCAGAGAAATTGAGTTTATTTGCTTTTTAGGTCTCTGGGGCTGGAGCTGCAGGTTGGGCTGGTGGCTTCAGAAGTGGTTGAAGAGCCTTTACGACAATGCTCATATTCGGCCTGAACTCAGCTTCATACTGCACACACAATGCTGCAACAGCTGCCAGCTGCATCGAACATAGATAATATTGTCAGTGATATTACCACCAAAAAGGAAACAGCAGCAGCAATGTTTCAACGCAAATGTACCTGAGCTTCTCAACCCAAAAAGGAAAACTATGCATGTAAGAGAGAGATACCTTAGCTACTCCTTTAGGAGGGTATTCTCCTTTTAGCTTGGGATCCACACACTGTTTAACTTTGTCTTCACTTAATCTCGGAGTAGCCTTAACAAAAATTAAGTTTGTCAGCCAAAATCACAGGGAAAGAGAACTGGAAGAGTAAAGAGAATGATAATAACATGAAAGTAGACAAATGGACTGACCCAGGTAACAAGACTCTGTTGTCCACGAGGCATAGTGTGATCAACGGGTTTCCTTCCTGTCAAAAGCTCTAGAAGGACTACTCCAAAGCTGTACACATCACTTTTCTGGGTCAATTGCCCGGTCATCGCATATCTGCAAATCAGTTTTGCAAGCCACAAGTTAGCTGTAAGCATCCACAATAAATGTGTCTAAAACTAGATTTATAAGATCATAATGTAAATTACGTACGACAACACAGGCATTGCCATGAAAAAAAATGATTTGAGTAACACTAGGCCAGACAAAATGGTCCATATATTTGCACCACTGCTAAGTACATCAACAAGAACTACACTAAAACTTTTCTTTATTAAGAAAAGATGAAATAAGTGGCAAACATCATTCATGTTTAGATCTGCTATTTTCAATCCACATTAGGTTATGAGTCTGGTCAAAGAAATCCCTTAAAGAATGCTGCTGTTAAAAACATACTTTCTCAAACTGGTTCTAGATGCATCTTAAACATTAATTTGAATAAAGTGCATGCTACATCAAAATGATTAGGCTCCAAAAGCCAAACTTATTTTAAGAAAGATTAAATTATAATGACAAAATAACTATGATAAACTACCAATGGGACCTCTAAAGAAATCCATTTAAGATGATCTTGCAAGGCAAACCAAGCTCGAAATGGTTTTACCCCAGAGCATGAGATTAATTGTCCAACAGCTTATCCTCACCTAATTCTCGTTTTCTATTCCTCTTCCTCTTCCAGAAAAAAGGTGAGGGGGAATAATGAAAAGAAAGGTAGAGGTCATAGAAATTCAAATTCTATCCTTCAATTTCTTTCTCCCATTTCTTCATCTCTCTCCATTCAATAAGCATCACTACTTCTATGCATTTATCTTTCAGATGAAAATAAATTATCAAAAAATATGATATGACTTTAGTTCTTCTTAAGGTAGTTCTGCTAAAGCATGGTCCATTCTTCATAGTCCTTTTGCACTGAGTTTTATACAGGCCAGCATCTTAGCAAGTTAAACTCCAGGTAACTTTGTCCAGACTCAGAATAAGTAATGCAGAGCACAGAAATTTAAACAACAAAAAAGAAAAGCATTGGACTGAAACGAAAACCACTCCAGGTCAAATCACAGGCAATAACATCATGTTTGAAAATTAGCAGCAACAAACATAACCAATGATTCAACCAAGGAAATAATCAATAAAAAGCATTACAAAATGATAATAGAACAAAAGGCTTTTAGAAGGATTACTCTGGAGCATGATAGCCAAAGGTTCCCAAAACACGAGTAGAATGAAGACGAGCAGCCATGTCAGGAGCCTGATTTGAAAGGTTAAAATCTGCAATCTTGGCCTTGAAATCTTCAAAGAGAAGCACATTGCTAGATCTGATATCTCTGTGGATTATAGAAGGTTGAACCTTCTCATGCAAGTACTCTAAACCCCTAGCTGCGTCAACTGCAATTCTAACCCGTGTCATCCAGTCAAGCACTGGACCTGGTTGTGCTCCTTGAACACCCTTCCTACCTGTAATTGCCCACATGCTCAAATTAGTGGATAAAAGTTTCTCCCATTTAATTCATGAAAGTTATTCTATATTGCAAATGAAGATTAAGCAAGCTGACATCATATACCATGCAATATGTCATGAAGAGATCCCATCGTTGCAAACTCATATGCGAGCACACGGAGATTTCCATCAACACAGTAACCAAGCAACTCAACAAGATTTTCATGCTTCAATCTTGAAACCATTGAAACCTGAATTCAATAGTTGGACAAAATTAAAGCAATACCTTAAAGAAGTTATTTTGTTATCAACAACAACAAACTGAACAAAAAGAGACCTGTCTTTATTAAGTTTATGATATACCTGAGTCAAAAACTCAACATTCGTCTCGGGCTCAGATGAAACATCTAGCTTCTTTACAGCAACAGCTTTTCCACTACTTAAGTTTGCATAATACACTCTTCCATATGATCCTTCACCAATCAATGCCTTTGATCCAAAATTGTCAGTTGTTTCTTTCAGTTCATCCAAAGACAATGCTGGCACTTCAATAGGTGGAGCTGCCTTTTGCACTTCCGGTTTAGCAGGAGCTGAAACCTTTGATTTGTGGTTCCCTAAAATGCAGAAAATAGTTGAGATAGGGAAAGCATTATAGGAAATGCCTAAAACAAGTAAACACGTATTTATGTTTATCAAACAGTACAAATCATGTTATCTCTTACTGGTAAATATGTCAGATTAATATTTTTTTATAGAAAAGAATGAGAATCCAGAATGTGATTGCAGGTTCAAGACTGTCTCTTAAAACCTCATTTCCATTCATTCACCATAACTCCAGTGATCAGTATGTAAATAAGAACATACTCTGAANTTTGATATTAAAACATTGCTAAATCTCACATCGCTAATGTTATTTCAGGTTGTCGACATCAATCCGTTAGGTGCTATCAAGACAGCAATGAAAAGAATACCTCCTGGTTGGGACGACGCTTGGATTCCATCAGAGCGAATTTCATTGATCGACTCATTGATAGCGTAAGCAATTTTGAAATGCTTGTTATTCTCTTGTACTCATGTATAAGGAAATTTATACTTTTTGACTGGCTTGGATTTTTTCTGAGATGAGACACTTTGCATAGTACCATCATCATTTGATTTAAACATGCAAATATTTTTGAGCCATGCCATCTTTGTTGGATTGAGTGGATATATCTGTTGTATGCTCTAATTTTCTCTCTTTTACGGCTACTTAACCGTTTCCCTATCCTCTATGTATGAACTCATGCTTTCTGTTATTTATTAATCGAACTCTCAAACTGGAATACCAACACTTCCTCCGTGGCAGGCATACTAGTTCAGCTGCTCGTGGATGCTTTCTTGAAAATTATTTAGGATCACTGTCTCCTGGGAAACTGGCAGATTTTGTCATATTGTCGACTTCTTCATGGGAGGACTTCACAGCAGAAGGGACTGCATCTGTTGAGGCGACATATGTCTCCGGTATGCAGGCACATCCTTAGAAGCCTAAATTTGTTCCAAATACCGGTACAATCAGAGACAGAATAAGCTTCAGTGGCATCAATGAACAAGGCATCAAGCTGCCTCTCCTGTAATAACTAAAACAAAACTGCTGTAAATTACCCAGATGTAGTATGAAAAATTTGTAGAGTTTATTTCTTGATTATTTGAAGGCGATTGTAATAATATTCACTATTGTGGGGCCGTTTGGATCGGGTTAATATTAGATAATTGGGGTAATATTTTTTAAATTGAGCAGATGACGATGTTTGGTTGGTTTGTAAAAATTTATTGCCGGAATATTTTATGACAAACAGTAGTATTTGGGAGGTATATTTCCCCGGGGAGGAGGGGCTGTGGAGGCTGTTATTAAAACTTACCTTGATATTACAATTTTTTTTTTTTTTTACATATTGCCCCTAAACAGTTGATCATTTGGTCGAAATTAACCTTATATTTGTTAATATTTACAAACACCCAATCACTTATGTAGACATTTTTGTCTTAGCTTTTTAAATTTTTTGGATGACATTGCCCTTGTTATTGTCATTATTTACAGAAATGTCATTATATCCAAAACTAGCTAGCACCGGTAGCCACCGTCGATCGCAGTCGGAGGTTGCCAAAAGTCGTCATAATGGCATACGATTGGCCTTATATGGTCAAGCCAGATCTGGCTATCTCAATACCAGATCTCTAGTTGTTTCTCGGCCAAGGATGTGCCTGTGAAACAACCAGATCTTTGGTTGTGAAACGATCGGTGTTTCACGGCCAAAGATGGCATTGTCAGCGGCTGCCAACGGTTGTGGCTGGCTGCCGGCAATGGCTTGGGGTGGAAAAGGGGTGTTTTTGTTAAGTTTAAAATGTTTTTGGTTGCTAGGGCATTTTTGCTAAATCTGAAAAGTAGGGGGTTAAAAGAAGTTATTCAAAAAGTAATAATAAAAAATACTATTATATTAATATTTAAAAGTGAGGGCAATTTAGTAATCTTATATAACATACCCATTCATTTATCCTCTTAATTAAACATATTATTCACCAATTTATTCGAATCAACCAAACGTATTTTCTAAACATTTTCAGTCATCTTTAAGATGATCTTTTATTCCGTTAATATAATATCTTCTTGTAATAAAACATTATATGATCTAAACGCCTTTTGTATATTAAATTATTTTCTGCCTTTTTGCTTCATTATTTGTTTTTAGGAACACTGATTCAAATTATTTGTTGGAGATGATATTTCTTTTTTTAAGACATTGTTCTATTCTAGGGGTTTATAAAATTTGGGCATGCTGCTGAATTATTTTTCGTGGAGATTTCTAAGACTTGGTTAATTTAGAATGATCTATTATCTTATTAGTATTTAAGTTTTTTTTTTATGTTTTTTAGGACCCTTTATAAATCAAAAGTTTTTCTTATTTGATTCTTTGTTTTAAAACCCGAATCAGACCGGCCAGTCGGACCGGGACCTAGCAGTCTCTCCCACCAGGTTCAGGTTTCAGGGGCTTTTTATTATATTTCAAATTTGTAATTTTAGGGAGTCTTCTGCAATATTTCAAAACTTTAGGGACTAAATAGGTATTTTAAAAATAAATTAAATTTTAGGGACTGATTTGAAATTTATTAGGGGTAATATATATAATTTAAGGGACTAACTTGTAATTTTTTTAAAATATTTTTATTGTTGATGTCATTAGTCCAATCGACCGGTTCAACCAATTGGATTGGTTGACCCGTGACTCATTCACCTTGTTGGGTCTCACAACAGGTGGGTTTTAAAATAATGATTTGATTAAGAAACTCTCTCAAAATATGATAATTATATGCATTCATCAAGAGAATCAACAAGTTTTGCTTATTCCAATCAAAGTTTTCACTAATAGCTGTAGCTTCTTTGGCATGTAGCCAACATGAACTTATGTTACGAGTGCCTTGTGGATTTCTGTATCAAGAAGGAATAAGTAGCTTCGGTAAAAGCAGTCATGGAGAAATCTATAAATCAAAAGTCAATAAAACGAAGTGAAAATTCGTATGATACAATATTAACGTGGCTGTTGTTGAACCCTTTTTTGTTTCGTCGGGCACGATTCCTCAATCTAATGTATTGAGAAATGATCTACTCAAAGTGGAGAGTTCGTCGATTACAACCCTTGAAGTGTTAGCTGTCGTTTGGGGAAATGGCCGGGCTAAGTTAGCCAAAATAGAGAATTCGCCAATTACAATCGTCCAGCCAAAAAGGTTCATAGGTGTTTAAGTTGCAACAAGAAAGTTGGATTAATAGGGCCTTAGTGCAAATGTGGGAGTACTTTTTGTGGGGTTTATTGTATTATGTAGGAACACAAGTGTAAATCCCATTTTAAAGGTTTTGCTCATGAAGCAATTGGTGAGGCAAATCTTGTAGTTAAAGCTGATAAACGGGAGAGGATCTGAAAAATCTAATTGGGTTTGATTTGGTATGATATGATATTTTATTTTTATTTAGGTTTAGAAAAAAAAAATTCAGGTTTTGTAGTGCTTCTATTGATGTTGGAATATTGGATATAGAGGTTGAATCCATAATAATTTGTATAACTTTACATGTGACGAATTAGCATAAAGCCATACACGTGGATGTACATATGATTATAAGGATTGTGGCTGTGAAGTAATTGCGTACAATGTTTTAAAAACCAACCGGAGGCTAAACTCGAAAAAGTGGTTGGATCCCAAGTTGACCGGTGGATCAAACCGGTGACATCAACATAAAAAAAATTCAAATTTTTTTATTTTCAGCACCTGTTAGCATTGTTTCAAGTGCACATTAGCACATGTCGAAGCCGACCTTCTTTCCCTTTTTTTGGCTGTTTCTCACCCAAAATCACCCCCATCACCACCACTGGAACCTTACCCTTTCCTTTTCAAAACCATACCCTTTATCGCTGACTGTCGACCATGGAAACCACGTTCATTGGCTGTCCTTTGCCAGATTCTGGCCGTTTTGAGCGACGACAACTCCAATCACGACCACCCTTAGACTCATTGGCTACTCCCCTACAAAACCCCCAAGGTTCTGAAGCCATTCCACCCACCAATCGCCAGAATCAAAAGCTAGGGCTTTGCCGTTTCTTGGCCAAATTTCGGCGATTCTGATGACTAAAACTTAATCAGACACCACCCACCGACTCACCATGATCCACCCTTCAAAACCCCCTAACCTCGATTCATGTTTGCCCATCGAACATTGGTTGAAAGCCTTGTTTTAAAACCTAGACCGGCTCAGCCGGTTTAACCGGTTGGACTGGGACCCGGGGCCTTCTCCAGGTCGGGTCACTCTTTTTAACTGTTTCAAGTTTAAAATATAACAAACACACCTTTGATTAATACGCATCAATCCCTAAAGATTTCAAATCTAGCAAACACACCCTCTGGCCAAATGCAAATCGGCAATGACTTCCCCTTTTCCGACAACCTTCCACCTTCCTTGCTATCGGAAACCACCTTTTGACTTCCTTCGGTGCCATCACACTTCATCTCCCGCTGCCGCGTGATGTTTCGTCGTCCACCTTCGCCGCGCGATTTTTCTTCCATTTCCCGATGTCGATCGGCCTTCTCCGGCATCAACAGGCTTCCTCAGCCACCGATCTACCTTCTCCCAAGCTCCCTTACTATCGTTCACGAAGATCCAGACATCTCACCAAAAAAAGCTGGTGGGACCATTGACTTCCACCACCGATCTGCCATTTCTGGCGATGCCTCTACTTGCCAACTGCCGATTCGCCCTCCCCATCATCCGATCTACCCTCCTTGGTGTGTCGCCACTGCTCTCCCAGTCGATCGCCGATTTGCATTTGTCCAGGGTTGTGTTTCCTAGATTTCAAACCTATAGGGTCTGATGGTATTTATCAGGGGTGTTTTTGTTAGATTTTAAACTTGTCAAACCATTGGTTCAACCGCCGGTTGAATCGGTTAAACCGTGACCCGATCAGATGACCGGGTCACCCTCTGGTTTGGGTTTTAAAACAATGGCTGAAAGTCGTGGTTTTCTATATTTTGATTCACCCGGTTTTTTCCCAAAAACCAGTTGGACTGATGGGTTGCTACAATACCTTCATTCCAATCCAGTGTGAATCTGGGTTAAATCCCCCCTCCCCCTGGTTTTTAGGCTCTCTAGGCTCGGCCCACTGGCCGGGTCGGGTTTTAAAACCATGATTGCGTAGGCAAATGTTGTGGTTAAAGATGATACACAAAAGAGGATATTAACGATGGAACTAGATCTGGTTTAGTATGATTTTTTTTTTTGGTCTTATTTTTAACAATAACACTATAGACACCAAAATATTAGCACCGAATTTCTGTACCAGCCTACGTGTAATGCGTCTTTCCATTTTTTTACAATTTTTTTTCTAGTGAACGACCGTCCATCAAATTTGGACGGCCGTTCACTCACATGGACGCCCGTCCATATTATATGGACGGGCGTCCATATGCGAGGGACGGCCGTCCATATAATATGTACGCCCGTCCCTATTAAAATAAAATAAAAAAATTTGTAAAACTGTAGGGACGGCCGTCCATTAATTTTGGACGGGCGTCCACAAATAATGGACTCCCGTCCTTCACCCAAATATGGAAAAAAAAAACAATTTCTTTGGGGACGCCCGTCCCTTAATTTTGGACGGGCGTCCGTAATTTTTGGACGCCCGTCCATGCATTTGGCTTTTACAAATCTTAAAAAAAACGATGGACGGCCGTCCACAATTTGTGGATGGTCGTCCTTTTATTGTGGACGGGCGTCCGTAAGTAATGGACGCCCGTCCAAAAGTAATTCGTAAAAAAAAAATAATTTTTAATACTGGACGGCTGTCCCTAACTTGTGGACGGCCGTCCATACTAAATGGACGCCCGTCCATTAATTATGGATGGCCGTCCACAATGAATGGACGACCGTCCCTTATGTAAAGGACGACTGTCCAACCCTTATGGACGGCCGTTCGTAATGTTATTAAAATTTAAAAAAAAAAAAATTTCGCATTAGGTTAAAACATTTTGGGGAACTTTGTAAAAGACAGCCATTACCATCTTCTTCGTCTTCCATCTGCGTTATAGGGTGTTCTTCGTCTTCGCGCTGTTGATCTTTTGGATTTGCAATTCTGCGCTTGTTCTTCGTCTTCATCATCTGCCATCGGTAATTAGACAGTTTGTTTTTCAAATTTTTTTTTCAATTTTTTTTTTTTTAGTTGGATAAATGTGTTGAATGGAGTTGCATTGATGAAGAGAAATCCAGTCAATTTGGTGAGACTGGTTTGTGTGATTGATAAATAGAAGTGTTGTGCCATTGATAAAGAGAAATGTAGTTTATTTTGATGAATGTCTGAATTTGATTCTGTGTGTTTACACTACACGCCATTGGATGAATGTGTTGGGCCTAAATATTATGATCTAATCCAACATAACAATATCTCCAGCCCAGATAATTCAAAGAGATGCCCATACAGATCATAAATAGCTAGAGTTTTGACCCAAACACACTATAACAGCTAGTGTATAAAGCCTTCTGCATTGCTCTTCCATTGGTTCCTTTGTTTGTAGAATCGCCTATAGATTAAGTGTGTTGAAATCTTCTTTCCTTTCTTGCTGTCGCCGTTTCTCAAGACCTTGATTCTATTGTGAGATAAACTCTCTTAGTGGTGTCTGGCCAGTTAAAGTTGTGCCAAAGAATGATTGTGTGGGTGATATTATTACGATCATCTCTTAACTCAATTCAACTCCTTTTAATTATCAATGTTCTTGTGCGAGAATGCATCACTTATAACTGTAGTTTAGAGCTGTACCGTTTCTTTGTCACAACATACTTGCTATGTGTTCAACTGGGTTTTTTCTTTTTCCCTTATTTTTTTATTTTTTCCCAGGCTTTATTTGCAGCAAATTTTTTTTTGTATATAAATTGTTATGTTTTGTATATAAATTGTTAGTGGTAGAACATCAATTATTATATGAAAATAACTCTTTATCTTTGATTAAGAAGTTTTTGATCAATGATGAATATGTGGTGTTGTTTGGTTCATTAAGGATTCTGGGTGTTTTCAGTTCAATAAAAGAGTGATAAAAATGAGAGAGTTTATAAGTTTAGTCCACATGGTATTGAATTCGATATTTGTGCGACTCTGATAGATGCACTTCTCATACTCATTCATAAATTCATTAGGCATTGGCCTGAAAATGTCAAGTTCACCTATCTTTAGCTAACTTTGGAAAAATTGGCAAAATTGTGGTTAGGCTGACAAAGAATTGGCAAACATGTGGGGTTTGATAGAAAAACCCCTTAAACTTTTATTTTACAGTTCTTTATGTTTATTAAGTGATGGTGTATAAATGGTAAAAGGTGTAAATGCTCNAAAAAAATTAAATTAAAAGTGAATTTTTATAAAATTATGTCTCTTCCTTGAAAAATAATAAATAAATAATAATTGTGTAAGCTATTATGTTATTTTAATGTTTTCTATAAGCAATAAGGTAGGAGGAATAAAAAAATATTTTTTAAGTTAGTAAGTGATGCAAAGGGATAAAATAGACTTTTAATTTTAAAATTAAATGAAACCCTAACATATCTATAAGGGTAGGGGTGTTTTTAATACTTTCGAAATAAAATGAATGGGTTTAATATAAATCAATCTCAAAGGATCAAACCAAGTAAACCAAATGGAAGAAATATATCAATTAAGGCCAATGAGGGGGAGGTATTGGATAATTCTCAAAATGTGGAGGGATGTTATGTAGTTTTTCATACCTTTGGGGAGTGAATAAAAATATGGGAAATAGGAAGTGGGATAATAGCCCTTTTAATTTAATATAATTTTCCAATAAAATTTGTACACTTCTCCGATTTTGTTCATTACATCGATTATTTTATTGTCACGCAGCAAGAGGCACCACGGTATCGGTACCCAAGAAAATAAGAGTTATGCAACTATGAACCAACGTCTCATCTCTTTCACTGCCGTCGGTCACTTTCAAGATCAACTGATTCAATTTTCTCAACCGAGCTTTAACTAGCTGCTGCTCTGTAAGTCCAATTATCAAATCTTTTTCAATTTCAAAAAAAAAAAAAAAAAAAATTCTTCATTATTATTTCTATTTAATCTTTCCTATTTAGTCTGAAAAGAAGTAATTTAGAAGAAGAGTATATTTGATGGGTAGAGCTTTATCATCTATTAAAACTTTCCTCCGCCAAAACCCTCCTATCCGTCAAAGCCCTAATTCCCATATCAGAAATCTGTCGATAGAATCCAAAGAAACCTCGCAACTCTGCTCAAACTTTGCAAAAGAAGTTTGCAAGATTATTAGAACCAAGCCCAGATGGGAACAGACTCTGCTTTCTGATTTCCCTTCTTTCAATTTTAATGATCCCAAGTTTTTTCACCAGGTCTTAGAGCACCAAAACAATGTGCTTCTCTCACTTCGTTACTTTTATTGGTTGAACTCTAATTATACATTTTCAGCTGATTTAGATTCGTGTAGTGCTCTCTTTGATTCTCTTGTTGAGGCCAAGGCTTGTAAGGCTGCAATGGATTTCCTTGATCATACTGGTTTTAGTCCTGATCCAGGTTCAATAGAGCGATATATACAGTGTCTTTGTGAGTGTGGATTGGTTCAAGAAACAATTGGTCTGCTTCCAAAGTTGAAAGAAATGGGAGTTTCTGGTTCCATAAAGACATGGAATTCAGCATTGTTGGGTGCTATTAAGGTTGATAGGACTGACCTTGTGTGGAAATTGTATGAAGTAATGATTGAATCTGATGTTGTAGCCAATGTTGATGCTGAGACTGTAGGTTATTTGATTCAAGCTTTTTGCAATGATGGGAAACTTTGTAAAGGTTATCAACTTCTTCGACAGGTTTTGGAGGAAGGGTTGGAGCCTGGGAATGTTGCTTTCAACAAATTAATATCAGGGTTTTGTAAAAAGAGGAATTATGGTAGGGTATCTGAACTACTCCACACAATGGTGGCAAGGAACTGTGCTCCAGATAGATATACATACCAGGAAGTCATCAATGGGCTTTGCAAGAGTGGTATGATGCTTGAAGGTTATCGAGTTTTTAATGATATCAAGGAGAGAGGGTATGCACCAGATACAGTCAATTACACAACAATGATTCACGGTCTATGTAAAATGGGATTGCTTGGGGATGCTAGGAAGCTGTGGTTTGAGATGATTAATAAGGGATATCTTCCAAATGAGTACACTTACAATGCATTGATTCATGGATTTTGCAAAATTGGTAATTTTGAAGAGGCTAAAAAGCTATTCAAGGAGATGTGCGATAGAGGTTATGGAGAAACCACAGATGCTTACAATTTTATGATTGCGCAGTTTTGCTCAAGGAGAAAGGTAGATGAGGCTTATTGCTTGTTTGAAGAAATGAAGCGAAAGGGTATTGTTCGTAATGTGATTACATATAACACTTTGATTAAAGGTTTTTGTACCGAAGGCAAGATTGCTGATAGTACAAATATGTTAATAGAACTCGTTGCGCAGGGTCTACAACCTTCAACTTCCTCTTATACCCCACTAATTGGAAAGCTGTGTCAGATTGGAGAGTTGGAAGAAGCAAAAAAATTGTGGAATGATATGTGTAATAAGGGTCTGTTGGCCAAGGGTCCATACTCATGATTATATCAGAGCAAGGATACGTAGCAGAGGGATCAGAGCAAGGATATGTAGCAGAGGGATCAGAGCAAGGATACTTAGCAGAGGGTTTGCAATGGTTCATAGAGATGCTGAAGAGTAAACTCAAACCTCAGAAGGAGACTTTTGAGAGATTGGTTCAATGTCTATCACAAAATGATAGGTTGGATGATTCTTTATTTGTTTTAGAATTTATGTTTAGGATAGGTTATATACTCGGTGAAAGTATATATGTCATTCTCTAGTCAATAAACTTTGAGAAGAGAATTCAAATTTTGTCGAAACATTACTGGGGAAGATCCTAGAAAGGGATTAAGCGGAGCTTCTCCCATTTTGTTGCTTGTAACTTCTATACCATGATTGTGATCTACCAAGTACGAGAGGATTTATTGAAATTCTTTAGATATTACAGCTAATAACATTTTTGGAGCACTGTTTTACCTTGTACTTTTTCATGAAAAATGATCAGTAGATGAATTTCAATGTGGAATTATTTGTTAATATCCATTTAGCAGACTGCTTTAACCAAAAGATGCGCTCACTGGATGGGTTGATAGATACAAGTTGGGTGTTTTTTGATTGATGGTTGGCCTTTAGAGTAATATCATTTAATTTGGAATCTCATTGCCTTTTGGATATGTATAATATATACATTCTGGCATGACAAACCCAAAGTCTTTGAAGACTTTAATAAACCCTTTGATCGTTGACTATAAATTTCTTCTTCTTGAATGTAGCCGCATGTTGGGATTGAAACTTGTCTATCACCAATGACTCTGCCAGCACCTTTGAGATTGTCGTGGACAATCCATGCAATAGTATTCTCATAATGGCTAATGGCTATAAAAAATTGTCCCATATTTGAACGGAAAACTGTTTATGCAGGTTGTTAGCCTCTGTTGCCTCCGGGACGCTTCAGATTACCATGAAGCAATCTAGGCAATGGTATTAACATGATATTCACTTATCGCGACATTTGGCATTGGCGGAATGGACAGAAAAAAAGTCAATTAAATCTTTTTCATAGCTCATACTTGTCAAGCAATTTTTATTTTTTCAATTTTTACAAGTTTGTATTAAATAATTAATTTGATATAATAATTATAAGTATCATACATCAAATTTGCTTTTGGGAAATGATTTTTAGCCCACTTAATATCTTAGATCTCTGTATTTTAGACACTATTTTTTTTTAAACCCCAATTATACCGAAACTACTCTTAAAATTTAAAAGTTCAATGTGTTATAGATCTTATTACTAGAAAAAATGTGCTGCACAAATACCCATTTGGCGTCCAATCAATTTCGACTCTCAAGTTTAGAAGTCGTTAAACATCTATACTGTAGTTTGTTATCATAGAAATTAATTCATCATTTAACATCACCCTCTCAAGTTTTCGTTCCTTACACTTCAAGAATCATCATTTAATATAGCCGGCCCTCTTCAATATTTGTATTTTTCTTTCAAGAAAAGTAAGCATGAATTATTATTGACTGGCAGATATTTCAGAAACCTTATCAGATGTCAGGCTTCGCCGCCAATTCCCTTACAGAGCAACCATAATAATAACGGAAGCTGTCGTTTGAGATGATTAAGAAGGGGTTGCTTCCAAACGAATAACACTCACAATGCATTGATTGAGAATATTAAAAGAGTTATTGAGAGTTAATTGGGTTGACAAGATTTAAAATTATGGAGAAACCACAGTGGCTTACAACACTATGATCGCGGTTTTGCTTACATGGAAAGGTAGATGAGGCTTATTGCTTGTTTGAAGAATGATGCGGAGGATATTGTTCGTGATGTGATACATATAACACTTTGATTAAAAAAGATTGCAATGTAGGTAAGATTGATAATAGTACTAACTGGTAAAAAGAACTGTTGGCGGATGGTCTGCCACCTCAACTTCCTCTTATACCCCACTAATTGAAAAGCTGTGTCAAGTGGAGGATGAGGAAGAAGCAAAAAAATTGTGGAACGATATGTGTAATGGGGTATGAAGAGACAAGGGTCCATACACATGATTAAATCATCACTGGGTTGTGTAACTAAGGATATGTTGCAGAGGGAATGCAAGGATCATAGAGATGCTGATGAATAAACTCAAACCTCAGAAGGAGATTCTGAGAGAGTGTCTGTCACAAAATGATAGGTTGGTGATTCTTTACTTATTTCAGAATTTATGTTTAGGATAGGGTATACACTCAGTGAAGTTTATGCCATTCTTTAGTCACTAAACTTTGCGTAGAGAATACAAATGTGTCGAAATATGCTGGGGAAGATCCTAGAAGATACTAAGCTTAACTACCATTTGATGGTTTGATGGTAAAGGAGCAAAATGAAGTTTTATGAGCTCTTATTTCAAGTCTTCTAAACATTATACGAGTGATCATTAGGGCTCTTACTTGACCAAAATAACGGTGATCACTAGAAGTCTTACTTGATCGATAGTTAAGGTCTTGGAGATTAGTTGAAATATACGTAAGTTAATCCGAACACTCCCGATGATGAAAAAGAAAAGAGAAAAAAAAAAAAAAAAAGATATTAAGCGGAGCATTGCCAATTTTGTTGTTTGTAACTTGTATACCTTGATTGTGATCTAAGTCACCAAAGATGATTTATTGAAAATTCTCTAGATTATTCTTACAGCTGACATTACTTTTGGAGCATTGTTTTACCTTTTCTTTTTCATCTACAGAAGAAATGATCAGTAGATTGAATTTCAATGTAGAATTATTTGCTTATACCCCTTTTAGCCTAGTGATTTTAACTTGAAATAACGTGCTCATTCAATGAGCTGATTTGATCCTTGCAAGTTGGGCGTTTTTTATTGATGGTTGGCCTTCGGGATAATATAGTTTTATTCTATAATCAAATTGTCTTTTGGAGTCATCTGTGTATAACCTGGCATGACAAACGCAAAGTCTATGAAGACTTTTTATAAACCCTTTGATCTTTGACTGTATATTTCTGCGTCTGGAAATGAAAGTCGATTTATTTGTACGTTGGAAATTCATTGGAAATTTCGGTAGAGAAAAACTAGCAATATCTTAACCACCCTGGCCATTTCCGTCTAAATCCTACTGTTTTAAATACTAGAAAACTCCTCTATTATAACGGAAGTTAATCAAAACTATTAATTGAAACTAAAATAACAAAAATATCCTTAATTATTTCACTTGATTTTTTAACTTTTCTTTTTGGGAGTTCATTATTTTAGTTTTAACTAATGGGTTTCACATACTTAGTTTTTAAGCTGAGTGTCTAGTGTTTGAAACAGCGGGATCTGTAGTAGAAGTCCTAAGCCTCAGGGGGGGAAAGGTATAACTCTGCAAAGGTTAAAACGTTACTATCAAATTAATTATTCAGAACACGTGTGGGTCCCAAATATACTAGCGTTGGAAAAACCCAACGATGATGTGAGTGTCATTTACACACATATCCTAACCCACCAGTCACACTAACACACCTGTAATCAGGAGTATAATCACCGTCAACCACCACACCCGCTATAATTATAAATACCAAATTCGATGAGAAAATATCGAAAAAAGAGACTAACATTTCAAAAAAAAGAAAAAGAAAAAAATCCCTTGAGCGAGAGAGAGATGTCGGGTTACGAGAGCGTGAGGAGCAAAGACGATGAGAAATTCAATCTAGACCTAGAGGGAGGACGCGGTGAGAGACTGTACCCAGGTATTAGCCTTGGGGAGAACCAGCTCCGTTGGGGATTCATCCGTAAGGTCTACGGAATTTTGACCGCCCAGATCGTGGTGACCACTTTGGTCTCCTCCGTCACCGTTCTCTACTCTCCCATCAACGATCTCCTCAAGGGCAATTCCGGCCTTCTTCTTTTCCTCTCCCTCCTCCCCTTCATCCGTACGTTCATCTCTCTCTCTCTTATTTTTTTTTTAAATTCAGATTCATTTTCTAATTATGATTCATAAACAGATATGGAGGAAATTTTTTGTGGGTTTAAATTTGATTATCATTTGCTTTTTTTATTGTTTGGGAAATTTTGGTTTGACCCGTGATTACTAACAGGAGGATTCAGAGTATTAGTTGATAATCCTTTGAATTTATGGTACCCTAATGGAATCTCATCTCATCTGGGTAAAATTGAAAACTTGTACATGGTTGGGATAATGTTTTCTCATTATTTAAGTCTTGATTTATCCTTTTACGTTCAATATATTTTCTTTCTGGTATAAAGAAGACATCGTTCTCTAGTATAAACATAATTTATATTAACAAATACATATTTTAAATGGTAGTGAATACGTTTGATGAGTGTATACATCATTTGTTCAAGATTCGGTGCCTGTAGAATTTGTGTTCTTTGCTGACATTTGTGTTCTTAATATTAACTTTATATTAGATCTAAAATTCATGCAGTGTTGTGGCCGTTGCATGTGTATCACCAGAAGCACCCTGTGAACCTGATTGTTCTTGGTCTCTTTACTGTGTCAATAAGTCTGCCTGTTGCCGTGACCTGCGCTAATACCGAGGGTTCGTATAGTATCTTTTCTATCCGCTTCAATTTACTCTGCCTAGTGGTGTTCTCCTTTTTCTTCTTTCTTCTACAACTATGACTCGATTCTTGTTATGCATTCATTTTCAGGTAGGATTGTGCTGGAAGCACTAATTTTAACCTCAGCCGTAGTGTGCTCTTTAACTGGGTACACTTTCTGGGCCTCTAAGAAGGGCAAGGACTTCAGCTTCCTTGGACCAATTTTATTCACCAGCCTCATTATCCTCGTCCTGACTAGCTTTATGCAGGTATGAGATCTTGGTTCTGCTAAATTGCCTCATCATCCTCAATAAATATGTGCATGATTTTGCTTACGTATTTGGAATTTTTCTAACGGGATTTGAAAATCCTTGGGTTATGTTCCAGATGTTCTTTCCTCTTGGATCAACGACTGTTGCTGTATATGGTGGAATTAGTGCTCTGGTCTTCTGCGGATACATAGTCTATGACACTGATAATTTGATCAAGCGCTTCACATATGACGAATATATTTTGGCCTCTGTCGCTCTTTATTTGGATATACTGAACCTGTTCATTTCCATTTTGCGGGTGCTGAGGTCAGCTGAGAGTTAGATGTACAGTGGTCTACAACCTGCCTGGATTAGGCTTGAAAACACACCATATGGTGTGTCAGTTTATGTGTTCATTTAGACTTGAAACTGAAGTATGAACCATGGTATTGAGGATATTCTACATGTTCCCATGTACTCGTGTTAGTGCCCTCACAAACTTTCTTCCTCACAAACTTTCTTGAGTGTGGTAAATAGATATATAATTGGGATATTTTTCCATTAGATGTTTCTTCCCACGGCAAATGTGTTTCTTATTATTCATTAATTT